GGAGGAGGAGGTGAAAGAGCACCTCTCCCAGCCCTGGCGGAGGCTGAAAGCACGAGGCGGTCCCAGATAAGGGTGCTGGGCCGCCGGCTGCGGGGGGCGGAGAGTGAGGTGCGGCCTCAGGACGACTGGGTGGGGTTCCGCCGGAGGAGGCTGGGATCAGAGCCCCAGGAGGAGGAGGAAGAGAAGCACAAGCGTCAAGCCCGGGCGCCTGGGGCTGTGGACCCCGGCCAGGTATGTCAGGGTCGCAGACGGCCTGCGGGGGTCGCCGCGGCCCTTCCGGGTGAAGGGGCCCACCTCCCTCCCAGCACGGGCAGGGCGAATCTGGTTGCGCTCCGCCTTGTGCAAGCAAGGCCGCCCGTTCGTGCTGCGCCACTTTCTTCCTGGTTGTCGCTGCCGCGACCGGCGCTCCCGTTGTAAAGGGACCCTCGCGTCCAGGGTCCCCACGGCGCGCCCTCCGGAGCCCGGAGCCCGTGGGCGTCTTCTCCCCCTCGGGTGGCCGGGTCCGGGGGCACGCGCCTCCACCCCGGGAAGTTGGCAAGGCGCAGCACCACCAACTGCCATTTCCCAGGGCGCCTCCCTTCTTTAGGATGGAAAGCCCGAGTCCGAGTCCAAGTCCAGGAAAACCCGAGTCCAAGTTTGGACGAGCGGTCTGGGAGGGAGTCGCCCCAGGCGCGATGAGCAATGCGAATGCAATGTCTCCTGAAGACCCAGCGTTGGAAGTGGGGTCTGCAGGGGACGGCAGTCTGACTCAGCTTGCGAGCTCAGCCGAGTCCAGAACTGGCCAGTCCCGCTTCCGGGAAAGCCGGGCTCCGCCGCGCTCTGGCTCTGGCTCTCTAGAGTCCAGACGCGCAGTTGCAATAAACGGCTTAGAATATTCAAAGTGTGGCGTGGTAAGAAGGAGCCCCCTGAGGGGACAGGTGGTTAAAGTGCCCCGCACCGATGTAACATCCAGCTTTCCTCTGGTTCTTAAATGCTTCCCCCTCCCCACCCCCCATCCCACCCCCACTATCATGCCCCTAATTCTTCTACCTTACAAATCTGGTTAAACCAGAGCATGTACACGGGTACAGATAACACAGGGAATACAGGACAGATAAACTCCTCGGGACCAATATTGAGAGTGACCATACCAGGAGGGGAAGGGGAAGGTGGGGGGAGAAAGGGCAATCACAGTGGGGATCACAATGACCTACCCATAACCCCCCCCCCAGGGGATGGACAACAGACAAGGGGGTGGGGGGAGACATGGGACAGTGCAAGACATGAAAAAATAATAATAATTTGTAAATTATCAAGGGCTCATGAGGGAGGGAGGAAGAGGGAGGGGGAAAATGAGCTGATACCAAGGGCTCATGTAGAAAGAAAATGCTTTGAAAACGATGATGGTAACATATATACAAATATGCTTGACACACTGGATAGATGGATGAATTGTGATAAGAGTTGTATGAGGCCCCAATAAAATGATTTTTTAAAAATTAAAAAGCGAGGACAACGACGAGACTCCTGCACTTTGGGTATGTTCTCAAGGGGAGACCAGAGTCCAGAAAGGGACATCAAGCTTGGCAAAGGGAGGACGACTCTCAACGAGATGGACCAGTTCAGAGGCTGCAACCAGGGCACTCAAACTGAACCACAGAGGCGAGGGTGCAGGACCCCTGGCGCTACGTTCTGTTGTGCATAGAGCTGAGGAGGCCTCGTGGGGTGGTGGCATCGGCTGCTAATGGCCAGGTCATTGGTTAGGAACCACTAGAGGCTCCTCCAGCGAGGGTGGCATAGGAGGCTGTCTCCTCCCATCAAGAGACATCATAGTCTCAGCGTAGTTCTACTGGGGCCTGAAGAGTCGCTCTGACTCAGTGGCTCACACTCAAGGTGAGCGAGTGCTTCCCCTGTGAGAGAGAGAGGGTAGCTCCCAGTGTGACTGCGTGACTATGCAGAATGGTGCTCTAATGTAGGCCTAAACCTAATGGCCAGTGATATTTTTATTTTTTATGCCCAATATTTATTTATTGGTTGGTTCGTGGAGTGAGTCTGTTTCCATAACCATACTGAATTCTTCAAAAGTCCACAATGCTCAGAACAAAATGATTTCACTGTCTTGTACCACTGTTGGATTGGGTGATTGCTATTTGGACCACTGTTTGATTTTTAAAAGGGTTTTTAAGTACCAGAGGGTTTTTTTCCCCCCCTCAAAAACTCAGGGTGACTGGGGCAAAGATCTGTGTGGGTTACCCTAAGTTCCATGAAAGGCAAGGCTCGAACAGAAGCATTGACAGCAATATTAGGCCAGATACCGGAAATGAAACTGCATAACCGTGACAGACTACTAATCAGTTTTTAAGTGACAGATCTGAAGGGAACTAGTTACAGAATCCATACAGAGCCAAAGTCCGTTTGAAATCAGAGGGAACATTAGAGGAGAGCATCCCTAACCATAAGTGATTGACCATATTCTCAAAGGTCTGACGTGCAAACACGTCTGAATTAAGTCTTATAGGTAAGAGGAGTTACTCTCCCAATTAAGCCCCCTGGGCCTTTATGCTGCTAGATAATATCATGTGTTTGTTACCTAATATCAGACAAAATATCTCCTGAGAGGAATCTAAACTCACAGGCAATGACGTGATTCTGATTCATGGTGACCTGTGGAACTCCAAATTCACTGCCATTGAGTTGATTCCAACTCATAGGACAGAGTGTGGAACTGGCACTGTGGCTTTCCCAGACTGTAGTTTGAACTACTGACCTTTCGGTTAGCAGCCCCAGGTGTAACCCACTAAGCCAACAGAGAAGCCAGCACCTCATCTGTAGTTTTAAATCTTTACAGTGGACAATCTCATCTTTCTCCTAAGGAGTTTCGTGGAAACACTGTCCTCAAGGTTAGCACCTCAATGATGAAAAACTTAAACTCTCCTGCCATTAAGGCCATTTTAACGCATAGTGAATCTGTAAGATTGGCTGCTGGCTGTGCAGTTAGCAGCCAGGCTTGATTTAAGATTTCTGAGGGGCTTTAATGTCAAGTAGTATAAATCCAGCAGCTGGATTTCTTGCCATTAACACTGCCGGGCTCCGAGGCTCGGACTATAACCTTTTAAATAAAACTCGCCTTGACTTTGTTCACAAAACAGGGAAAATATTTTGTGACCTTTCCACAAAGTTTCAACTTGTCAGGGGATCTTTAATAATTCACTAAGAAACACTGAAGTTACGGGAAATATATCTCAAGGGTAAGCTTTTCAAAAGCCCGCGGCTTGAAGACAAACAGGAAGGAGCTCTGCTGGGGTAGTAAGTTATCCATGGGGTAGTGAGAAACCACGAGCCGCAGAGCAGGAGAAGGAGGAGGCTTTCTATTCCCATAAAGAGTTACAGTCTTGGAAACTCACAGAGGAAGTTCTACTCTGTCCCAAAGCATCGCTGTGAGTCAGATCAACTCAAGGGCAGTGAATTTGATATTTTTTATTGTTTATTTAAAAACAAACATGGCTTGGTAAACCCAACCCATCGTTGCCCCTGCAAGAGGCAGATTATAAAAAGAATGAATTAATTCTTCAAGCCAGTGCCCACTGCCCCCAAAATCCTCAAAACCACTGCGAATGAGGTGTTTCTGACTTATGGTGACCATGACCCTGTATAGAGTTTCTCAGACTGTAACTCTTTACTGGTGGAGACAGTCTCATCTCGAGTACTGAAGTAGGCTCCTGGCTTTGCACCAATGACCTTGCAGTTCACGGACCAATTCACCCCAAAGCGCCATCAGGGGACATCCGACCAGTAATCAAAGAAAAGCTTGTTTTTAATGGCAAGAAATTCAGCTGCTGGTTTTATACTACTTGACATTAAAGCCCCTCAGAAATCTTAAATCAAAATATTAAGCTTTATCCAGATAGATAAAACATTGGCCTTATCAAATCAGTTTCTCCAGACTCAAGTGGAGGCTGAATGCATGTCAAGACTCAAAGTGGAGTAAACCGTAGCCTTCTGCAAACAAGTGGTTTAGAATTTAAGTTCTAATATGGACCCATCCACTGCTCTCCAGGAGAGAGATGTGGCAGCCTGCCCCGTAAAGAATTACAGCCTCAGAAACTGTATAGCAACAGTTCCAGCCTGCCCTATGGGTTTGCTATTAGGATCAATTGAACCCCAGTGAGCCTTGGATTGTTTTGGCATTGTACTCCAGGAGACAGTCGCCTGAGTATGGACATGCTGTAGAAGCCCTGGTGGTGCCGTGAGTTACATGGTGGGCTGCTAACTGCAAGGTCGGCAGTTCAAACCCACCAGCAGCTCCACGGGAGAGAGATGAAAGTGTCTGCTCCTGTAAAGATTTACAGTCTTGAAAATCCTATATTGGACTATTAACTGTGAGGTTAGCAGTTCAAAACCACTAGGGGCTCTGAAGGATAAAGATGAGGCTTTCTATACCCATAACGATTTAAAGTCTTGGGAACCCACAGAGACAATTCTACTCTGATCTATAGGGTTGCTATGAGTCAGAATTGACTGGCCTGCAGTGGGTCTGATTTTGGTTTGGCTTGTGTGCCTTGTAGAACATTCCAAGACCTCTTTAGAGAGAGGAGGTGCACATACATTGCATTATGTACATTGAGTGTCAATCTTTTCTAGGCTCTAATGGATGCTTACAAGTTTTTAGTAAATAGACATTTATCCAATGCCTGCCAAGAAGGGATGTAGACACCTAGGTTTTGAGATTATTTGACTGCGCTTATTCAATACTATATTATCCCAATTTTCTATAGCATGTAGTATGTATAAAGGGGTCCTGGTGTTGCAGTGTGCTAACCAAAAGGTCAGCAGTTCAAAGCCACTTGTGCTCTGTGGAAGAGAGATGGGCCAGTCTGCTTTAGCAGAGACTTTCATGGAACATTCCTCTGCCCTGTAAGATTGCTGTGAGTCAGAACTGACTTGATGGGAGGGGCTGTTAGGTAAGCATGTGTTACTATGATTAGAAAACTTTTCTTTTATAAAAGCACAGGTCAAAGGGCTTCAAAACACACCCAAGAACCTGGACAAGTGGACCTGCACAGTCACCCACTTGAGCTTGCTTCGTTCACGGTAGCCCGGGCTCTGATGTTATACTGGCACTGTCCTTAAAATGGCTCAAGATTCATTCAAGAGTTTTAACATTTTACTGGGTTATTTGTTAACTATCAGAGGCTAAGAGCGAGATCCAAGCCACCAAACCCACGTGGGTGCATTGATTCCTGCTCATAGTGACTCTATAGGGCAGAGGGGAACTGCCTATCAGGTTTCCAAGGTTGTGAGTCTTCATGGAAGCAGATTACTACATCTTTCTCCTGCAGAGTAGCCGACGGGTTCAAACCTCCGACTTTGCAATTAGCAGTGGAATAATTTATCCACTGTACCACCCAAAGCCCAAACCAAACTCACTCCCATCAAATCGATTAGGACTCCACATAGCCCTACAGGACGGAGGAGAGCTACCCCTGTGGGTTTCTAAGACTGTAACTATATATGGAAGTAGAAAGCCTCATCTTTCTCCTGCAGAGCAGCTGGTGGCTTCGAACTGCTGACCTTGTAGTTAGCAGCCCAATGCCTAACCCATCACAACCACCACCACCACCACCAGGACTCTTTAAAAAATAAGATACCCATGCTTATGAGTAAAGATTTCACTGCCATCAAATCCATCCCAACTCCTAGTGACCCTTTGTAGTGTTTCCAAGGTTGTGAATCTTTTGCTCATCTTTCTCCTAAGAGCAAGACACATGAACTGAAGAAGCAGTGTGGTTTAATACCTTTGACAACATCCATCATTATCATCATGCTCGTATACAATGAAATGCTCATTATGAACCTATTGGAGTGTAAAAAGACACTCAGGCTTTACCAAATTATGAAATGTTAATGATATTGAGATGTAGTTAATTAATTTGTCCCTTCTAGCCATAGTCCCTTAGTGTGATGTATTATACATTGTAGCCTCTATGCCCGTGGTTATAGTCACATGTTGGAAGGAGTTTCTGCCGTGCTAATGGACAGGGGAGGTGGGATCTGGTCTGTCTCCACCTTACTAGAGCGTGTGGACCAAGTCACTCCCCTTTGTTTCTGTGGGATGTGGTCAGCTGAAAGACAAAAACCACACCTCCATCAAAACCATTCCTATGTGTACAGAGCTGTTAGTCTGGGTAAACTAGGGAAACAAATCCACAGAAACTCATATGCATAAGAGAGAGTTTTATATAAAGGGTAAGTGCACATCAAGAAAGCATCCCAACCCAGTGCTGTCCAAACTCATAAGTCCAACATTAGCTCATATGTCCGACACCAATCCACAAAGTCCTCCTCCACCTCACAAAACACACACAATGACGCCGGCTGCAGG